CCAATTTTGTAGCACAAATGTAGTTAGAAATCTTTAATCTTAGAACTTCTGTTTTTTAAAAATGTAATAAAGTTTCTATTCTGACATTATTGAAATAAAAAAAAAAAAAAAAAACAAAAAAAAAAAAGAATAATGACTTAAATGAAATAAATCTTTTTTGAATAGTATATAGAATATTATATAATGAATTGGATGCAAACATTATATCAAGATGTTTAAAGAATTAAATAATTTTGAAATTAATAGTATGTTTATTAGACCTATCAATAATATAATTGTCATATATCAGAATACTAATAAATAACTATAAGTTGTTCTAGAGTTGTTAAATCCTAATACAAGTACTTATTTCCAAAAAAATTAAACTTTTTAATAAAGTTTATAATATGATGTTATAATTGAATATTTCATATATTATAAATATTGTATAACTGAAGGTGAAGTAATGTACTAATAAGAATTGTTAACTGTTATATTAAATTTTATCAATTTTATTAATTTTACCAGTTTCACCAACATTTATAATAAAAACAACTATAAATTAAATAACAAGTCTAACTCAAATCTGATTAAAAATTTTAAATTCAGGTCTAGTTTAAACTGGACAAATATCTATAAAAATTTAATTTAAAAATAATTTAAATTTTAGAACTTAATTAGATGTTACAATCCTGCAACATGCTTATATATTACATCTTAATAATCAACTAATCACAAATCAAAAAAATTCAAAACAAATGTTCATTTTAACAAAAATCGCTTATAACTCAAAATTTCATATATCAAACTATCTTTTGCACTCTAACAAAAAATTTCTTGCCATAAACCTTTCTTTTTTATTTACCTAACCTTACCTAACCCTAACTTTAATTAAACAAACAGCTGGTTTATTTTAGTTGTTAAATTATATAAACACATAGCAGTATGCGACATATACATTTATACTTATAAAAAAGTATTATTAGCCTAATTGTGAAATAATAAGACTGATACATAAGATCTTACAGTAATTTGTAACCAGTATAGCAAGTTTTATATAACCATTCTTAGAACAACAGAATGATATCAATTTTGCAAATTAAATAGTTATTTGTACAATTTTTTTTTTATCAAAATAAGAGTTTCAACATTATGTATAATTATTTTTTCATATTTTTTATAATTAGATTAGAATTTAGAATTAAAAATAATTAAAGAGAGTATATAAATTTTAAGTGTTAAATTATATCGAAAAGCATAGGTGCGCTTTGGTCATGTGATTGGAAGAATTCCGGACAGCCAAAAGTGCCGGAAATAAATTCAATTAAAGGACTTTAAGTCCGCAGAATACATTGAATTGGTAATTTTAAGTAAATAGTGATTTTAAGTAATTTGAACTGAAACGATGATATGCTCCCGGAAGATTAGCAAATGAGATTGCGCCAGGTATCATCGTAACAGTAGAGCGAGCGAGAAGCAGCATCAGCCGGTGGTTTCCCGCCTGCTCGAAGCAGGCCGGCTGTTAAATAGGAAAATGGCAGAATCAGGAGACTACAATGTGGCGGGAAGGGGTGGGTCGAGAAATGCTAACTATATGAATTGGATGTTCGATGAGGGAAGAGTGCGTAAATAGGCTCTTTTTCTCTCAACCTTTATATAAGCTTTTCGGTGGCTTGGGTTACGTAGCATGTTCCAGTGATCTGGCGCTGATTGCCTCTCGTATCGGTTGTCGGCGGACACGTGATGTGGGACCCTTGCCAAATGCTCTCTGTCTTTTCGATCTGTTGACCCTCGTCAACAAGCATGATTAAAAAGTCAAAAAGATGCAAACATTAAATTATAATACTATTTTTTCAATTACTTTGATAATTGATATCTAAAAAAACATATGTAGCTAAAAAATTTTAAAAAATTATTATCTAGAAGCCAAACTATAATCAGCTTAGTAAAATGTTTTTATTATTTCTTTTTAATGTTTTTTTTTAGTTACGGGATTTTATTGACTATAGTCAGCAAAAACTGACGTGCCAGTTATACTTGCGAGTTATAAAGTTGTAGTACTGAAGAACTCATTTATACAAAATCTGGAATTTTAATCCGGTTTACACACAGTACCACGCGAGTATCATATGATTGCACGATAAGGATAGTGACAGTAAAATTGTCTTTCAGTTAAACATAATAAAAGGGCCTTGACATTTTACTTTACTTTTTCTATATGCTAAATAAAGTTTTGCATCTTGATCTAAAGCATATGATCCGATAAATCTGACTTCTTTTAATCTACGATGAGTTTCTAATTCTTTGATATGCTCTTTTTTAAATTCTTTATTACTGATATCTAATTGTTCAAGGTTTTGAAATTTATGCATTACCGATATTAAGTCCTGTGCATTAAAATAAGGTTATTATGAACTTGAATATTATATTAAAAAAACGTAGACGTATATACATAGAATACGCATAGTGTTGTATGTTTTTTAGTTACCTAAACAACAGGTATAATGACAGTATGCAATATATATATATGTATATACAGTCATCCCTCGTCCTCGTTGATAGTGTTCCATACGGACCACTGATATTTTAAAGACCCGAAACATCGGATTGGGTCTAGGGATTGGAATCGTTTAACCGTTTAAAAATTGCATCATAGTTCCGGGCAGAATTGTGTTAGTCATGGGCCTGAATTATTTTAATGCCGGCCAAATCAAACAGTTAAACGATTAATATTAAGAAAAATTTTAGGGGGATCCAATCCCTAATCGGGTCTAAGTGTGGACCGACCATAAAAAGCCGAATTCTGAAACCATGGATCCGAACTTGATCCGTGGAACACTACTCGTTTAGATTAATCCGTGGATAACAAAAGATTGTTTGTATAGAGCAATTTATTATATGGCTAATTTTCTTAACAACGGAATGCTTGGTATTGGCAAATTGATATTAACGAGGACATGCCACCAGATGAAAACATGAAATCTTGCATAAAATTTCAAGTTTGCATTTGAAAACACCCATAACAATCCAAAAAAAAAATTACTTACGTCAGAATTCAACCCTACCATATTAAAATTTAATCCCAGAAACCTAATATGAGGACAAGTTATAGCCAACTTTTCCATTAGTGCTAAATCAAATTTTGGATAAGGCTGTTTAACGGTCACATCTGCTGTCGCCATATCATCACTTCTGATATCCAATATTTCCAACATATACCTTTTAAACTGCACCAAAGTCAAAATTACAGTCGGAGTCATTCTCGGCCTACTTGTGAACGCAAATTCAACCAACCCTTGACAATTTTGTACAATCATCGACAACGAAACATGCGTAATGTTCAAGCACCCAATCATGGACACTTTGCATAGATTTGGACAATGTTGGGACAGCTCAGATATACCCACGTCAGTAATTTGATTACAATGCATTATTGTGAATTTTCGAAGATTAATGTTTCTATATTTAGCCAATGTGGATACTGAAATGTCGGTTAAATTCGTGCACGTTCGAAGTTCTATAGATTCTAATTGATGACAATATTGAGCTATGGGCAAAAATGAATCGTCAGATAAACCACGGGCAAAATTTAATTCTATGTGTCGTAAATGATGTTGCGAATGAACCCATAATTTAGTAAAGTGGTCAAACCCTCGATAAGAACTTATTCGTAAGCTAAATGACTCCAATGGTGGAAATTCAGATGCTATGTTCATGGCAGTTTCAATACTAATATACGGAAATTCTAAAGATAAGGATTTTAATTTTGGACAACCGGACATAAGAATTGTGAATCCAGACCCTGTTATGGTACTGCACGTGAAGGTTTGTAAGTTTGGAAACGAAGCGACAATTACGGAAGCTAAAAGATTAGTTACTAAACTTGAGGATATTAACAAAGTGGTCAACATGGGACATTGTTTCCCTATGTCTCGTAATATATCAAACTGCATCCATTCAGATTTCCAGTTTTTCAATTCTAGATATTGAAGTTTTGAACAATTTCCATTACGAATTGGTTGTATAGCACGACTTAAAGTTGATAGATTTTGCCCTGAAATTACCGAAGAAATCAAACCGGGACTATGCTCTAAGAACATGGAAATTGTATCAGCTGAGAATGATCGGGCGAAAGTGATATGCTTAACGTTATTGCATCGTTCAGCAATTAGTTTAATATCAACAGCAGGAATTGAAATCTCGATATGAAATGGGCTGTATGAAGAGAATATTAAATATTGGATCATTAGATTGTATTCGAATGAAGTAGTTGGATTTCTTAATGTTCGTATGAATTTTCGGAACACGCTTGGAGATTTCCAAATTGGTTTTTTCCATAATTTACCAACAATTACCTATTATATGGTTATATCAAAAATTAATATTTTATAAAAACTACAAAAAATGATAAAAAAGATTGAATAAATTTAAAACATACCGAAGTCCAATAAGAATTTACAAGAAGTCCATTAAACAAATCATCTTGGTACTCAAAATTATCAAAAATTATATATAGTAAATCGATATTTAAAAGTACGGAGTGCGCCATTGGATTGTAGAACTGATTTTTGTTTTTTTGTTTTTTTGTTTTTTTTTTCCTTTTGTTTTGATTTAAAAAAAAAAGAAATACAAAACTATATTTAACGATCCTATTTCTATTTATATATATCGTCAATCGAACTTTACGCCTTATCACGAACTCTAATAAAGCAATTCACACGACGTTAGATCGTCAACTAGTTAGGAACCAAACACCAAAATTTAACAATTCAAAAAAATCAAAAATATATGTTACTGGATAATGCAATAGAAAACGAACTTGTTTATAGGCAGTGACATTTGATTGATAGTATTTAAGTAATTGTTGGCTAAAATAGGGATATTTTAATCATGTGTTTCCAGATGACATCTAGTTTTAATGCAACTCAGATTATCTTTGCACTCTTTTTAAACATAGGATACCATGTTTCGAGCTGTGTTATCGAGAAGGCGACATGAAAAGCGTTTATAGTAAGGAAAGCGGCAGGCCAGGCTCCATGAACAAAGGTAGCACTTTAATTGACAGCGAGCGAACAATAGAAATAGTTAATGAAGAGCTTTCTATTACATATAACAATAAAAATAGCATACATAAATAATATATATAATTTTATATATCTAACAGCTAGGACTTCATATGGTGTGTGAGAATGTCTCACAAATTTAGCCAAACACATTCATGGACTTTAAATGTTCCATTGCTTCTTTTAATTGTTTTTAATGTTAAAGTTGTCGTCAGTACGTACGTACCTAAATCTCATTATCAAATACATATACTTTTTGCAAGAATAATATATCATACAGTTTATTAATTGGCAAATGTACAACAATAATAAAACTATATAATTATGAATACTTTTATAGTAATCAATCAAGAACCTGTACGTACTCTTATGAGAATTTTGGTTATCACACTTGTTTACAATCAGCTGTCACTTTCACTCGTGTTATCGCTCCCCCATTGTTTGATTTGACAATAAACAATCATTTTGAGAAAGAACAAAATGACAATGATTTTGGCAGAAAAAAATAGAAAATTGGCGTTCCTAAATACAATGAGATCTAAAAATATATTGTTATTGAGCTACGCCATCAAAACTTTAATTGAAATGAATTAATTGGAAAATGCTTGTTGTGTTTGCTACTTTACAAAACATAGAATAAGCATTTATCAAACGTCACACATAACTTCTTTACAGCTAAATAATGTAATAATTGCACTGGTAAAGACAATTGAGTAAGGTTGCACATCGATAAGCGATGTACATACATGTTCCTAAGCTTTCTGGTATTTTGTCAAACTCACGGCATTAATATAGAGTGTATAAAATTATTGGTTTGTGTTAAAGTAGTAAACAGACTTTGTTAATACCTAAAGTATTTATAAAGATTTACAATTGGGCCATACAAACTAATTAATTGCTTTTTAGAACCTAGCCGGGTTAAAATTTAAACCCAATTTTTGGTTTATAACTAGGTTGATTTTTTAAAAAAAAGCCGACTATTTTAAAATTTTTATGAAAATCAGTAATTGCTATTTAGAAACCTCTATATATTAAAATCAGCTATATATAATTTTATATTATAATTATAAAATATTTTTATTAAACTTACAACTTAATTATGCAATTTTGATAAATTTAAATAGTATTAAAATTATTATTAAGTTATATATAGTTTATTTTTTATTTATAATGAGAACAAATCTTGTTTATATAATTTTAAAATTAAATACAGTTTGCCACTGCGGATTTTATTCAAGAACTTCATCTTGAATTGAATAGTATTCATGAATATTGTGTGAGAAAACAAGTAATTATATTTTATATAAAAAGTAATAAACTATCTTGTATTAGTGATAACTCTATTTTCACTTGTGCACATACAGATCAGAGTATTTTTACCAAATACTTCGTAATCTTGATATAATGAGAGTTAATCCAGGTAGATGGTAAATAACATTTAAATTTTAATTAAAATGATATTAGATTTGAAGATATTATATATATATATTTATTTTAAAATTGTATATATTTAGTATACAGTATATTAAAATAAGTTCTTGCATTATGTATTTTATTAAATATATTATTTTTTGATATTAAAATAAACTCTTATATTTAATAAATAACCTTTTTTGATAATTCTGTAAGTATTTAAATTGTATTTTTTTCGAAAGCAAAGTAAAACTCAAGTTTTATAATTAGAAAAATTTAACTTTTTTTACCAATTTTTGATCAATTACAACAAAAAACTGTTTATAAAAAAATATTATAGCAAAACACAAGAAAATAATAATTCTAATTTTATATAAAGCAAATATTTATTAACAAAGCCAAAAGACAAAATATTAAAGAATAAATATATTTGCTTAGTTTGAAAAAGATTAAATTTTCTTTTAAATAGATTTTTTTTAAATTAAAAAATTATTTTGAGAAACAATTATAGCAAAACTTATATCAAAACTATTAAAAATATAAAAAAATAGAATATGACAACTTAGTAAAGTAGATAAGTTGTTAACTCTAGTGGCAAGTTATAAGTTCAAACATACTAATACCAAAAATTTAGACAATTATTTGTAGTATAACAACTGTTTTTCATTAATCAATTAAAATAAGATATTTGTAACTATAGTTGCATTAGCATGACTGACAGGTTATAAGTATTTGTGTAATCTTGGTTATACAAAGAGATATAAACTGATATCAGGTAATGCAAACCCAAAATAAATACTTATGATTATATAAATTTATAAAATTAAAAAAACAGAAACCAAACTAAAATAAAGAAATAACACAGATCTTTAATAATATTATTGCAAAATAGATACCAATATAAAGATATTAGATAAGCAAAAACATTTAGATAAAAAGTATTACAAACCAGACTATTAAAATTAGATTAAAAGAAAAAGATATCTTGATATATTAAGAACAAGTTATAGTTCTATTATATTATTTAAATTAGAAGTTTAGAAATAAAGCAAAAATAGAAGTGTGATGACCTAGTAAAGTAAACAAGTTGTTAACTTTCAAATGACAAATCTAAAATTCAAATCTCAATAATAGTGAAAATTTGCAATTCTTTCTATATTACAGTTAACTATATTTCATGATTAGTTGGAATTAGATATCTGTTATGCATGTCATATCAGTATAACTAAAAGGTTTAGGCATTTGTACAATCTTATATAAAAGAACATAAACCAGTACCAGGTAGTATGAACACATGATAAATTTTTAAACTGTATAAGTTACAAGAACCAAATAAGAAGATAGAAGTTTACTTGAAAGATTTGAATAAAAAGGTAATTTGAATTTTTAATGATGTTATTGTAAAGACTAAACCTATAAAACAGAGCTAAAATTTATAAAGCTAGACAAAGAATCAGTCTTTAAAAAAGAACTAAATAGAACCAGCCAGACTACTAAGATCTGTTTCAAAAGAAAAGGTTATATACTAAAGAACATATAAACCAGAGATATAGTTATAATCTACCTTTTTAAAGTATTTGATTTGTAAACTTAATGGAACTTGAATTAAATACCAAAGTAGTAGAAATATATTATGAAGTCAGTATCAGAGTTGGAATAAACTCTATAAAAGCATAGTAGTTTAATAGTATGCTTTGGCTGTAAGTGTTAGTCTTAACTATAGTGATACTAAGTTAGTTGTAAAAATAGAATACAAAAGATTCTAAAAGATTTAATACAAGGTCAAAGGTTTTTTGTATAAGTGAACTGCTTTAAAGACTTAGTGATCATGGTTTATTTTTACTAGCATTAGCTAAAGACTTACAGTTAAATAATATATTTTAAAACAGATAATAGCTTAACAAATATATTTGAAAAAAGATTATATATTAAGTTAAACAGTACTTAGATATATAAAAGTTTTGATATTACTCAATTAATATAATACAAAGCTAGAGTGTTTAAATAGATAATTTCTAGCAGATTACAAATATATCAAATAGTATAAAACCTTCAGCCAAACTACTTAAATAAATAACCAAAAGTTGCATAAGTATCTAATTGTACATTTATTATTGTACAAGTTATGTATATATATAATTAAAAAACATAAATAAAAACAGTAGTTATTATTAATATCAGTTTTAGCAAAAGCTAAAAAAAAGTATAAAAAGATTATTATATAATTATAAAACTTATACAAAAAATTATATATATTTTTGTTAATTTTTACCTTTTTTAAAAAAAAATTTTATAAAAAATAATTTAATTTATCTTTTTTAAAAGATTAATATATAAAATTATTAAAACAATTAACAATATTTACTTTTAATTATCTTAAAAACTATATAATAATATAAATATAATTTATATATATATTAAATAATTAAAAAATTATTAAAAATAGTAATTTTAGTATAATATTTAAATTGTTATTTTTCAAATAGTAGATTCAAAGTTCAAATTTTATTAATAGCAAAATTTAAAAAATAAGTTTACTTTAGAAATTTATTTAAATAATCTAAAAATTATAATTCTGAAATTTTAATTATATAAATAAATTTAAAAAGTAAATGTTGCAATAAGAAGTTTATTTAAAAATTCTAAATAAAGAAGTAGTATAATTCTTAACAGTATTATTTATAAAAATCTTATTTTAAAAAAGAAATTCAAAATAGATAATTTGTATAAGTAAAAATCTTCAAATAAAAGATATTACTAATTAACTATCAATTAATTTAAATATAAAATTATATTATATATAAATTAAGAGTATAAGAAAACTTGTAAGGATAAACAAAATTATAAATAAAAATACTAAAATTATATTAACTTTATACAAGTTAAAAACTAGATTAGCAGAATAACAATTCTAGTATAATTTTTTTTTTTTTTTTGAACTTTGGTGACAATATCAATTGGTTTTTATTATCCTTAATTTGATATAGTACAAATTTATAATTACATTTTTTAGGATCAAATTACTAGTACTATATACTATCTAATTTATACTACTGACTTCATCTAGTTACCC